ATTCTATTTCCAGTCAATATCCATGACATTGAGTGTAGCAATCTTTCAAGCTTAGTCTGATATTGGTATTCCAATTTGAATCCCTTTGGGGTTGTGGTCAATGGGGATAGTGTAAGTGTTGCAGGGTTACTATGAGTGATAGCATGACAAAGTCATTTATTTAGTATACCCAGCATATTACACATTCATTCCCCCAAAGGAATTTTTCAGTCTATGAATACTTATATACTTTGCGTTTTTGTCTATCTAACTCAAGGCAGCTTCCCTCAGCAGTGTTACCATTTTGGGCTGGATAATTCTTGTCAGGGGTGATCCTGTGCATTTGGGAATGCTGAACAGCATCCCTGGACTCTACCCGAGGTGCCAGTCTAGGTGCCAGGGAGAAATGCCATCTGAGGGGCAACATGAGTTCCAGTTGAAACCACAGGTCAATTATATGCTCTGTATTTTTCTTCCCAGTCTCCAAACTATTTTAATGATTTAAAATGAACACACACATCCCTCATTCTCTCCTATATGCCTTGTATTGTTCTCCATACTGCTTACAAAAGGCTGACATCTATATTCGCTTGTCCTGCTCAAAACTCCCATGGCATGTTACTTGTGGTGCTTACTACATCTCTGCTGTTCGTGCAAGTTGAAGCATACATTGGTGGCCCCTTCCCCTCCTCAGCTGTGAGACACAGTTTTTATATATACCTGGTGCTCACTTTAAAAAAAGAAAAAGAATCAGCATTTCTTTTTAGATTAGACCTTATTTAGAATACTCGTGTATTTTCAAAACCAGTCTCTTTCTTAAATAAGTTTTTTAATAATAAAAAGAAAATCCCACAAAGTTAAAAGGTTAAAAAAATTTTTAATGCTGCAAACGCTACTGCCCCAAAATAACGATTATTGACAATGTAGTTAATTTGCTCATGATATTGTCTATGTGTTTTTTTTAGCCTGATGCTGTATCATAAGTGTTTTTCTGATGGAAAAACCTTTATCAACATCATTTCCATGGCTTCTCTCCAGAGGAAAGAAGACCACAATCTAGGGACTGTAAGAAGACATCATGTAGAATAGTACGGCTCTCGGGGAGTGGGGTGAGGGTGGGGGTGGGGGTGCATACTGGAATAATCCAGGGGGGCTGTGAAAGCACACATTTACACTTTATCCTGGATTATGGACTATAGTATACAAGTTTAAATATTTCTCAGCTGACTGCCCCGTCACCCCCCTACCCAGCTCCATAACTCATCAGACTTCTGGATTTTCCTTCACACAGAAGTACACTAAGGCTTTCTCCAGGATGGTCTGTGCTGTGCCTCTTAGGAGCTGATACTTCTTATACTTCTATACTTGACAGAGGAAAATAAACAGACCTTGTAGTTGTACACTCTTGCCATTATCAGGTTCCCTCAAGTCGATGCATAAGGACTTGGTCTGACCAGGGTAGAAGTACCCACTGGGTCTCTTGGGCCATGAGTCTTACCAGCATTGATTGCCGTGTCTTTTTCCCGAAGAACTGCTGAGTGGGTGCCAATGGCCAACCTTTCAGTTGAGCCAAATGCTTAACCATTGGACCACGTGGGCTCCTTAACCCACTACCCAAGCCCACAGCCACTAAATCTATTCCAAGTCATAGTGATTGGATATAGGGTTTCTGAGACTGTAAATCTCTCCAGGGGCAGACAGTTTCAACTTTCCCTCCTCCTTGCAGTGCCTGGTGGGTTTGAACCACCAACCTAGCGGGAGCAGTCCAACACTTACCATACAGCACCACCAGGGCTCCTTAGTAAACTTCAGAAAGGCTACACAAAAGGTCTTGTCGGGAGAGAACCCCTAACAAATCATCACAGGTCCAGTAGGCACAATTGTACAGTGATAATAAGTAAAGATTATAGTAAAGTCATGGAGAACAGGAGAGATAGAAGAGAGATTGAAATAATGGAGTCACACACATTTCATAGTAACATGCTCATCTCAGCCTGGCTTAGTGGTCCATGCTTGGTGGTCCACGTGGAGAGAGCCAGAGAGAGAACGTTTATTGCTAACCAAGGCTTATATCTCTTTAGGGGGCGTGATTACAGGTAACGACACATGTCACAGGAAGGGGCTGAACAATAGGCAATACAAGCAATAGGATGGGGATATACCATGGGCATAAGCATAACAGGAAGGGGATGAGCCAGGGGCGTACACATGATAGGAAGGGGAGGGGTTAGGGGTATATATGTGACAAGAAGGGTGGACCCTAGATTCATGATGGCGGCCTAACCTTGGTCACCCTTGAGTGGGCATGGCCTCCCTGGGCTCTCCTACAAGGAAACAATTTACTACTATCCTTATCAGAAGGGAGTGGGCCCTACTTATTATGTGATAAACAGGGCTGTCTGCTTTATCTGGATGGCTGATAACCCTGACCTACTTCTGTTGACCTCCAGGTGTATAGCAAGCAGCTAAATTTGGCATATATTTGGGGAGAAACTTGGGAGAAATCTTTGTTTCCCACAAAGTCGGAGTCCCACACGTTTAAAAGGTGCCTTGGAAGTTTTTCAGTAGCTTTTGTTTTCTTTCTCCCTTTAACAAGAAATGCTGCCTTATTTGTGTGGGGGAAGATTTCATCCTCATTTTAT